AAAATTAGAGAATTAAAGATATCATTACAAAATGAACAAATCTGAGAGAGGTCGACATGTAGTACCTATATAGATAATATCAAAGCAATTAGACTTGCGTTTTTTAACAAGAAGTTGAAAATATCACTTTTTACCAAAAATGACAAAAATATTCACCAAAATTATAAAATTAAAGATATCATCATGAACTGAACAAATTTGAGAGTGGTCCACATGTAGTGCCTATATATGTAATATCATAGCAATTGGACTTGTGGTTTTTAACAAGAAGTCGAAAATATCACTTTTTACCAAAAATGACAAAAATATTCACCAAAATTAGAGAATTAAAGATATGATCATGAAATGAACAAATCTGAGAGAAGTCTACCCAAGGTACATATACACCAAGTATCAAAGCATTCAGGCTTGTAGTTTTCAAGAAGAAGTCGAAAAAGTAAAACATTGACACGGACGACGGACGACGCCGACGGACAATCACTCATATGATAAGCTCAGCTCGACAAAGTCGACAGCGGAGCTAAAAAACTGTTCCTCAAAACTCTGATTGTTTAACAAGTCTCTGTCAAACTTATTTGTCATTCAGCTGTTTCGAACAATAAATCTGGTGATTCAGATGTTTTACTTTTATACCAATTACCTGGTATATTTGAACCAACCACCAAAGCACCTCCCTCGTAGCCTAAATGAAATACATATATGTAAATTTTTGTGATTCTGTAAATCAACTATCGGTTTATTATAGATGTTAAAACTGACAATAAAACATGTCTGTGGTTTAAATTATTTTAAAATGGCAGTACTTATACAATAATTACTTTCAAATGTAGTATTATAGCTATACTGACTTTTATATTCTCAAATAAAACTGTTATAAATAAAATTCTGTATTCATCTCCCCAATAAACACCAGATCTCAAACCAGTATTCATGGCCAGAGAAGTTCACTTCAACAAGTTTTTTTGGAAAACAGTGTTCTATCTTATACATGAGAAAGCACATAAAGTGGAAGTGCAGTTCATTTTATACTAGTTTAAAAGCACTGTCACACATCCATGTACTTTAAATTAATTCCTTAATCAGGTTGTACATTTGATGATTCTTACTCGGGATAATTGTATGGACAATTTTGGCATCCTCATCATTGTGTTTTGAATAAATCTTATTTGTAAATGAATGACGAGAACTGCTTAAGATTGAGGAATCTCATGGTTAGTTCGTACACCCTATGTAACCATGCGATTTAGAACGTTGGACATGATGCCAATGATGGAAGTGAACACCATGAGGCAAAACAATCTTATGGCTTTTTTGCTCTTGATTAAATCTTGATGTCCAGTTACAAATATCCTAAATTATTCAGGTTTTTAACTGAAGAATGTTTTCTAAATATTCTAATATTTAATTTTTTTTGAACAATTCTACCTTGTCTGATTTAATTTCTAAATTGTACAATATATCAAAAACTTATGCATCATATATACAGTTTGTATCAACAAATGTTGTCACATACACCAGCATGTGATCTAAATTTTGTCAACTGAATATTCTCATAATATTCTCATATTTAAACTTGAATTTCATTTTGCAGCATTGTAGTTTGATCAATAGATACTTTTCAGTTCATTGTGAGATGCTGTGTTATGCATGAAATCGAATGTGAAAACAGATTTGAATAAACAAAGGACATAGCAATGAAGTGACATCAACATTGCATGGGATTCAACAAACACAAATTCAAAGCATTTAAAGAGTATTTCCTTATTTAAATAATGTGCTATACCCATTTTATGATGTCTGATTTTAATGAAGTAAGAGTATCTCAACACACTATTTCTCCCTCAATGATTGGCATTTTGACATACAGCTTGAAAATTAGAAGTTCAAGATCAAATCATTTGACATTTGGACTGTGCCTTTTACACAATATGCAAGTTTGTGCAGTGAACGGAAAATAACCTATTTCTAGATTGTATATTTTAGGATAGTATTGATTCCTGAAATACTGCAACATCCACTTTCAATAGTTTACTACATTGTTCATCCCTTCATGGTAGTTTGTCTTAATCTTAATTTTGAAGTCATCAGTCTAGTTCTACATAGGTCCAGTTCTACATCAGGCACAAGTGTCCAAATATCTATCAAGAAATTTTGACAAATTTACCACTAAGCAATATAAACACCACTTCCGAGTAGTGATTATGCTTTGTAAAAGTTTTAAAAGTTTGATACACCAAACATAGTAGGTTGGTGTCAATGTAAATAACTTTTAGCTTTTCGTCCATTAAAAAATTAAAAGAAAGTTGTATCTTCAGAGAAAGCACCAGCGAGTCTAAAGTCATTGTTCATGAGAACACAAAACAGTCTCTGCGGTAGAGCCCTGGAATACGATGTTGGTCGTTGTACCCGTGTTCTCAGAATGAACTCTTTACCAGCTGGTCTAGGGAAGTCTTTCACACTGACTGATGATGACTGGGATGCGTGATCAACAACGTCATCATCAGCAAGAAGTTCTTCTTCACTTGGAAGCATATTAGCTGACTGCAAAAACAAAATCAATGTGTGAAATTAATAAATGTGCAAACCAAAACCAAAATATGCAATACAATGTGAGCAAAATTTGGAACTTGTACATATGTTATAATATCTTAATTTTATGGGTAAGGTAGCACCTTGAGAATTAGAGTACCGTAAAATCTGTATTAGAAGCCGCATCCCTAATAGAAGTCGCATCCATTCTTTTTGAACAATTGAGAACCAAAAATTGACCATTTCTCACATGTGTAGATGCTCTAATAGAAGCTGCATCCCCTCTGTTGCATTGTAACATTTTAATAGAAGCAGCGGCTTCTAATACAGATTTTCTACATGTATATATGGGCCACTAAATAATGACACAAGCTTATAGCTCTCTGTCATTTATTTCTGATGAATAACAAGAATATAGTACTGTATATTTCTTGGAGAATGTCACTGACTTTTTTTCTTGAATGGTACACAATATTGTATGGGTTGGTAAATCTAATTAATCTTTCTTAGTAGACTCAGTGTGCACTGTGATCTATGTGTTATTTATTGCATTCATATTCAACACTCGACCAACTGAAAGAAAAGTATTATGTTTAATAAATAAATAAATAGTGATTTTTGCTATTAAAGCATAATGAGTTTGCTTGAATTTGATGTGAACAAAAAATGTATTTAACACATAATGTTATATGTATAGGTGTATACATGTGCCCCAGCATAATTACAATTATGGGCCTTTAATATATGCTTTGACCTTATAAGGTGAAAAATTGTAACAAAGAACCTTACCCTCTGTGCAGCTGCAAACAACCGATGTAAAATAGTGCCAGCTGGACCTCTACCAGCGCCAAGTACACTAACTTCAGGCTGTTCTAATAAACTAGATACAAATTTCTCTAATTCTGTTTGCTTATCATCATCCTCCAACACCTGCTGACTGAATTTAGCTCGCAGCGATTGGGCTCTGGCAATAACAACTTCAGCCAATTCAATCTGCTTGATGACTTCCTGGGAGATATATGAATAAAATTATTTTAGTCAGTCAGTGATTGGTTGAGAGCTATTTAAATTGTAATAATGTAGCAACGATGGTAACAAAATACAATGTACTTCCTTGTTGATACCTCCCTGTGGAAGCTAATACAAGAAGTTCATATTACTATTTAAAATCAAAGAAAGCTTAGAAAGAACTCCCATGTGCTGAGAGTATTGGAGACACATTAAATATAATTCGAAATTACTTAGCTGAAAACTAATTATGCAAATCAGAAAATTAATATGACCAGATTTGAGTGTAAAACTAATGAGGTCTGCGCAATGTAACAGAAAATCTATGTCTCCAAGTTTAATTGAAATGTGATTAGAACCAAAAAATTATGAATTATTATGCTTATTAGGGAATTAATATGAACAGATTTTTACCCCAAACTAATTAGGTTTGTACATTGTCCTAGAGCATCTTTGTACTAAGTTTCATTGAAATGGAATAATTAGTACCGTGAAAACTCCAAAATTTCGACCCCTCTAAAAATTCGACCGCTTATTTATTTGCTGGGTTTCGGTGTTTTATTAACCTCCAAATTTTCAACTCCACT